AGCAGATAAGAAAGAAAGTGCATCTGGGAAAAAATTTCAACAGCTCATGGAATATGCTTTGTTAATTTCAACAAATAAATAAAAATTAAGTTTAGTAAATTTTGAAAAAATTTCAACAGATCATGGAATATTCTTTGTTAATTTCAACAAAAAAAGAAAAATTAAGTTTAGTAAATTTTAACAGATAAATTTTTTGATAATTTCAACAGATCATGGAAATATGCTCTATAAATTTCAACAAATTAAAAAAAATAAGTTCGGTAAATTTTAACAGATTTTTGAACAGATAAGTTGAAAAAGTTCAACAAATAAAAAATATTTAAACAGATAGTCAAAAAAATTAAACAGATAGGTTGATGATGATGATAATTTCATCGTCTTTATCTTTATCTTTTGTCGCTTTGTTCTCTAAAGTGTGCATTTGATTGAGTGGAATTGAGGGTGTAAATGTATCCTATTCACATCCTGCTTGATTCTCGTGTTGGGCACATACTATTAGTAAAAGGACTCCCATTCATAGATATCCAACCCACAAAGAGGGGTAGCATTCTCATTCTCATTCTCATTCTCATAGGAATCAATCAATGTTCAAATGTAGAAGAAAGTTAAAGTTACACATATGTTGAGCCAATAATTGACTGTAAGTAAGTTAACCACTGAGATATTTGAATATATAAAAAAAATAATAAAATTTAGTAATACTTGATTTATAGCATCATTGAGTTAAAAATTGAATAACATACTTAAAAAATGAAGTTATGTTAAAGATTATTTGCTAAAAACTGATGTAACATAGTTATTTAAGGTTACATGAAAATAATCATGAATGCAATAATTTTAAAGGAACTTTGATTGTATTATTAGAACACTAAAATAACTAAATTAATTTTTAGAAATTAATTACTAAATATGCTCTTGCTTGGTTTTCTAAATATCCATTCAGTTCACTGGCATTTATTCTATAATATTACTATATTGGCACTGACTTCATATGGCTCATAGGCTCATAAATTATGTTATGTACTCAAGTATATGCTTCAGGTGTTGTGTGTTTAGGCGTTAAATGAAAATTCCCAAATTTATGGACATTGCGACAAGTCATAGTAGTTCCCAGTTCTTTCTTCCTTCCCTTAGGTATGCTGATGTTTTCGTCCAACGCATAAGCATGGTATTTCACCTATTTTGATGCAAAAATGTCATGGAAATAACATATTAATGAAGATATATACAATTATATGGTAAACGTAAATTTTCAAACATGCCTGTTGGGTGCATGTCTAACTAGAGTTGTTGGACAAAATTTGACACGAATACTCCCCACGTTTATTAGTGTTCAATGTTCATGTAACATAGTTAATGAGTGATATCTCAACCATGGTTCTAAATAGCGGTATTGGAATACAAATCAATATTGATTGCGGTGTAATGATATCGGGAGCATTGAGCATTATGTATTGGGAATCAGGCATTGAGGTTGTGAAATTTTAAAAAACATTCACAACCTTCTAAAACTCAAGGATACATAATTTTTGACTTTCTAAATTCTATTTGGTCACATTTACATCAATTGTTTTACCCCTTTACATCCATTAACAAGAAAACCATTAACAAATATTGGTGATTTTATTGAAATCCCACATTGCTGGGCTATTACAGCCTTGAAGCATTCCTCAGACTATAAAAGACTGGCTTCCTTCTATCTTTCAAAAGCAAAACTTTCTATCCCACAGTGGTGGGAGAACTAAGAAGGAAGTGTGCCACTAAGTATAAAAAAGAAGCCCCAGATCTCCAGCTAAATAGTTGGAAGTTTGACAGCTGTTTTTGGCAAACCGGACCGGTTTGCTGATTGCTCCGCTTGTTTATCTGTTATTGGCCGGTTCGCATTGTGAACTGGCCAATTCACCTATGATTTTGGTTTTCATCTACTGGGCTGTAGCGGGCTCGGTGTGTCAAAATTCCAATACAAACCGTCCGGTTTGCTGTGAACCAGCTGGTATTTGGAACCATGATCCTCAACCCATATCAAAGGAAATTTCCAAAATCTTAGTCAAAATCTAATCCCATTGTCTCAAAATGTGGTTGAGCCGTCTACTGTAATTTTAGCTTCCAAATTTATGACCTAATCCCATGCTTGGCCAAATATTGTTGCATTTCAAAACTGGGCCTTGATAACCAAATGCACCCATATTGTTTGGTGAGATAGGTGGGCTTCTCTCTCTCTCTCTCTCTCTCTCTCTCTCTCTCACACACACACACACGCACACACACACAACACAACACGAAAATTTGTAAAAAAATGTGAGACACGACTTGTAGGGTAACGGTAGATGCACAAAGTATATAATTTAATATATTTATTGCATGGCATATATATGAATATTTAATTAAAGATAATAATTTTTTAAGTTTAAAGGAGGAGAATATATATATATGATTAAGTTATTTTTCTTTCATCATTAGATTCCAAGTCATTTTATTAAACTTGTAATGCGTTTTATGTGTGTTTATGTGATAGACATGTACTTTTGAAGTGTTTGAAGTGGGCCCAACAAAAGAAGTGGGTCCAAGTCTCTTTTTTTTTGCAAATAGTAGGACATGTTTGAGGGTGTGTCTGACACATGTCAGAAAGTGTTGGACAAATGTTGCGTCATGTCAGTATCTGCCACGCCACGCTACTCCACCTTAGAAGTGTATGTGCTTCTTAAGCTAGCCTAATGGGCTTCTCTTCTCTATTTTTAGTTCCATCTAATTTATGTGGGCTTTGGTTTGGTTTGGTATGCTAAGAAGAATCCATCTAACTTGAATCTGTGTAGTACTTGTGTTAGACTCTTGACAATGTGGTTATATGGGATGTGTCCAACACATCTAGTTGGACATGCACTTAACAAATATCATTAGTAGAGCTTTATGATGAAGCCATAGATAAGAATCTTACTCTATGCATAGAAAGTTTTCTGTTTTATTTTTGGGCAAAGAAAAGAACTTCGTTAATCTTTAAAAACAATTCTATGTTAGTTTGTAAACATAGAGTTGTTCAAATTTTTTACATGTCATAATTTACTGTACTTTCCTTGTTTGGTTTATTTTCAGGTCTTTCACTTCTTGAATATCCAGGATTGAAAGCCATAGATCCTGCTTATGCTGTGCCAGTTGATGTTGTAAATAGGATTTTCTTTGGCAGATGACCTAGTTGATAGACTATTTATATCAATATACTGACAGTGCTTAAATTGCTTATTATTATTATTATTTGTTGTGTTAAAATTGCGAAAACATTTTACATGAAAATATTGCACAAGCTTAGTTGATTTTTCACTGCCCTTGAATTGGGAGTTCATTTTCTAGCCCCCTAGGCCAAAGGAGATTTCACTCAGTAATTTATAAATGCATGGCAACTAGCCCAGGGAATGCATATAGAGGATGCCGTCGGATTACGAGGAGATGATATTTTGTCAGATAGATGGGGACGACATCAGTAGCTACAGACAATCCAGTGCACGTAAAATGTAAAAGTGAACAATGTTTACCCAAATATTTTGTAATATTGTAATGGATGTATTCACTTGCATCAGATGGAAAGTTTGGCAGGGAAGAAGTTGAATATGTTGCTCTCCAAAAGTTTTATGCTCATGTTAGTATTCTTACATAATGCATGAAGTTCTCGTTAAAGAAGACTTTAGAGAGGACAAGATGAATGCAACTGTACACCTATTTATAGAGTGTGACTTAAACCCCCGTCAATAGAGATGTCACCAGCAAGTTGACGTTTACCCCAACTGTTTTTGTAGCATTGAAATAGATATATTCACTTAAGATGGAAAGTTTGGCATGGAGGAAGCATAATTTGTTACTCTCCCAACTTCATGCCCGAGCTCAATGGTGAGAGGCTATTCGATCTCAATCTCATGCCGCCATCCAGTAGTCATTGAAGGGGGGATGATTAGGTGATGGGGTATTTTTTATAGCACTCTTTCTCATTGTAGTGTTGGTTTTCATTTTTTCTGTAGTTCCTCGCTATCTCTCTACCAAACCCTTCACTGTTTATTTTCTTTCTATGTGATTGGAGTTCATAGGCTAAGATTTCAATTATGAAGAATGCAGTGGATTCAAAGAAGAAGAGGTGGTGGAAGGCAAGTGATTGGAGTTTCTAGGCTAGGATATTTGTTATGGTGCTTGGGTTGGGTTCATAGGAAAAGGTGGTGGCAAGGGGAAGAAAGATGTTTAGCCGCGAGACATGAGAATAGGTGGTGGAGGGATAAGGACATGTTGAGTTCTCAATGGAAGAATGAGTACCTAATTACTGAATTAAAATAGGGAGAATTACAGAAAAATGAAATGTTGGATAATTATTGAATTAAAATAGGGAGGATTACACAAAAATGGAATGTGGGATAATTAATTATAAAGGGGTGGGGAATCAATTGTAATTATACTAGAGGTGGAAAGTTGTAAATCATGTGCAAAATCTATGATTTTTTACATTTTTTGCTCCTTAGCCTCTCTTTCACACACATATTTCTCTCTTCATTCTTTTTTTCCCCTACATTCTTTAGATGCCTGCCATCCTTCCCAGCTGCTAACCACCACCCTCTCCCATCCAACACTGTCATTGCCAACCCCATCATATGTGCCTTTCTTACCCCTGCCCTTGCCTACCTTTCAGCAACTCCATTTGTTGACACTAACCCTTATTTCTGTTGCCACCACTGTCACACTCAGTTGTCGTTTACCCCTATCCAACTTAACTTCAATACCACTAACCCTATCCCCGCCCTCTACTAGTTCCTTAGCTCTCTAGCCCCTCCCTGCCTACTAATTCTCTCTGCCCATCTGCATCCCCTTCCCTACAACCGACAACTCATTCCCTCACCAAATCCCTTCACTACTAACTTCATCCCAACTTCCACTAACTCCCTATGCTAAACCCCAAACCCTTTTCCCGCTACCAATATCATTAACCCAATTTCCTCTCCCACCTCAGCCCCCTCTCATCACATAATGTTTTTAGGCATCAACAAGGCTTTCCTCCAAGGACATCCACCACCAATACTGTTGTATATTCAAAGCTAGCTGATGTAGGACAATGTTGTTAGAACTTTAAAGCTGAATTTGAATAGATTTTTATTGTGATTTCAAGCTAAAAAGTAATGGAAATTTTAGGACCTCTACTAGTGTATGGAAGAATTAGGGTAAGGGCATAAGATAATAAGAATATTGATTTTTAGGGCTGTTTTGGATGTTGTGAACAGTACACGTGAACAGTATTTGAGCTATGGAAGTGTTAAGATTTAAGAAAGAAATGAGAAGAAGAATATAGTTTCTAGGAATCACTCTTGCACGTATTAGATATCTCACTTAGAGTTTGATTTAGATATCTCACTTAGAGTTTGATTGCATCACACAATTCATAAAAAAGTTTCAAAAGCTCTTAAAAATATTTAAAACATCAATTATGCCTCTGTTTGGAAAGTGGCTTGGCTTTTTGGCTTTTTAGTTTTTTTGGCTCTTTTAGCCTCTGGGCTACAAAGCTTGGTTTGGGAAGGGTTTTTTGACTTTTTTGACTTTTTTTGTGAGAGAAAAGTGTGATGATTATGGGTTAGATGTGATGTTTTGTTTGTTGTGGTTAAAATAGCTTATTTTGTCTTTTGTGGCTAAAATAGTCAAAAAAGCTCTTGCCAAACGGAACATATATTAAATTAGAAACATTAGATTGCTTTATATTGACTTTAAAGACTTTCTATTCCAACTAGAACCAAAAAAAGAAACCTATTAAAAATAATTTGACTTTCAAAATCAATTTAAGGGGTCATTTCCCTAAATAAGTCAAATTATCAATTCAATTCCCAAACTAAGCCTAGTTTTGAAAGAATTCTCAAAATAAGCTAAAACGTGGTTCACAACCATGCTATAAACATCTGTGTGCCTGTCCCGCGTGAAAATTGAGAAGTCTTAAAAGCGTGGTTACAAAACGCGCTTTTAATTAACAAAGCGCGGTTACGAAAGGCGCTTTTAATTAAAAAAAATTTCTTCTGAAATCGTGGTTATGAACCACGCTTTTAGCTTAAATTTTTTTTCTTCTGAAAACGTGGTTATGAACCACGCTTTTTGGCAAAAAAAAGTTTCTTGTGAAAGCATGTTTGTGAACCACGCTTTTTACATAAATACACCAATTATTTAGTTTCAATTTAACTGAATTCTGAAGAAGAAATTTTTTTTTTTTGGTTTTTTTTTTTTTTTTGTTTCTGTTGTCATTGTTTTGGTGATAATGTATTTTAGAATAATTTTTTGGGTTAAAATCGTTTTACTAAAACCGTTCTCATGTTAATTTTTTTTTCTTTTCTTTTGTCTTTATTTTGGGTTAGAAGGTGTTAATGTAATTCAGAAAACCAGTTTAGTAAAACCGTTTTCTAGCCGTTTTCATTAAAAAAAAAAATTATTCTTTCGTCTTTGTTTTGGGTTAGAAGGTGATATACATGGTCTACAGTCCGAAGCACACCCAGACACAGTGCAGTTTGACGAACAACGACGAAAGGTGAGACGCGAAAAGCACCGCGGAGTAGGCCAAGAAGACAAAGGCCACCGCGAGAGCTGCAACAAGAAGAAAGAAGAGAAAGACCTCAAATTTTGGTGATGTATTTTTTACATACGAATGGTACTTTTTCCGTTTTTTGCTATATAATGTAACTTGTATGTAATTTGAAATCCGATTACGAACAGGAACTTATGTAATGTAAATATTGGGTTGGAGTTGATGTTATTGTGATTCAATTGGTTTCGCTTATTTCATAAGACTGATGTTGTGCAATGAAAGAATGAATGGAAAGGTTACTTGTTTTATTCAATTGGTAGTGTATTTTTTGTAAGAATGAGAACGTTATTTGTTATATTCAATGAATAATGGATACATTTTTGGGTTGTCACGATTGAGAAGATGAACAAGTTAAGAGAATGTGTTTTTCTCCTAAAATAAATTTTGTCAACATTTTTGTAATAAAACTTAATACATAATATACGAAGTCACTAA